TTAAGCAACGTTGAGTGTGGTTAAAACTTGGATGGGTGACCGCGACTTTACCGTTCTTCACACCCGGCTGCGAAAATGTTAATAATTTCTATAATCTTTAAAGTCCGAAATTTGTACATTAATTTTTTTTCTTTATTATTAATATGAATATACGCAAAGTATTATTGCATATGTTGTGCAATATATTATATGAAATTTTGCTGTGCTGTGTGGTTAAAGACGTCATGAAATGACGTCAAAATATGGTCATTTTTATGATGTCAAAATATGGTCATTTTTGTGACATCAATGGTCTGTGACATTCGACGTTATAGATACGTCGAAATGACGTCGAATTCATGTTACTATTGACGTTTGCTGGCCGAAAAATGTACATACGTCATTTTGACGTCGCCTTGTTAGCTGGGATTAAATATAATATTATAAAATGAAATATACAATATATGATATATATGATCAATATAATAATATTGCTCAAAACAAGAGATTGTTGTGATAAACAATTCTTTTGATAAATTAACTCTCGCGTAAGAAAAAGATCATTATTCTAAAAATAGACTGCACAAAAGTCTAACTTATTCATTTTTTGTAGGATAAGGCGAGACTTAAAGGTACGCTGGTAAAAAGGTCCACCATCCGTAATTTGAGAAATAATAATCCATTGATATATTAGGTTACATGGGCAGGGAGGAGTGTGCTGGTGAGACGAAACAACACTTGGTTCAGTGCAATTGGGGCCGTCAGAAGAAGCTCACGCACGCGCGCCTCAAAATCAACACGTAAGTTTTTTATTTTGTTTCAATTTTAGTATTAGAAATCTCTAATATAATTTTTTAGTAATTTAAGTAATACATTAATGTCAGTTAGTATTTCAAGTTTTATGTAATATCACCCGTTTTATTGTGTATCTGTTTGTCTCTTTTATACTTAACCTCAAAATCAAAATCACATATAGTTGAGGTAAAAAGGTCTACGGACCCTGTGACGGACCTATGTGCTCCATAGTGGACCTTTTTGCTTCAATCAAATGTATAACTTTTCTTCGACATTTTTATTTTTGTTATTGTTTCAAGATGCGTAATTACAAAAGAAAACCGACCGAGGCACGTAACCGGTTGCATTAATGTAACGGGCAGCTGAATTAATAATGACTGAAACTAAATCGTTGAAGTAGGCGTGTCGTGACTATGACATATATAAAACTTTATTAAGAAAATTTATAAAACAGATTAAAGAGAACTCTGAAGCTCCAAGATTTGGCTACGGAACACCGCGAAAGGTCTTTAGTACAGAACAACGTACGTGTTAAAAACACATCGCCAGTCATGGTCGATTAGAAGCTTGATCTTCAATTGAACTTCAATTTTGAACTTCAATTTTGAAGTTGTCAGGCTCAAAGAAATCAAATATTTAATAATAAAGACAGAGAGTTGATTACATAATTTAGTTTCTACGGAGTTTTATTTTCGTTACTGATTTTGTTTTAAAAGGAACTGAATATTAAAGATTTATAAAAGTTAATAAATAATTGAATTACTAAGTACTTTGTATGTAATTTTGGGTGAAGTTCCGAATAGATGGACCCTTCGATTTTTTTAAACTACACTATTGTTTGTATTTTTGAACGCTAATTACAAATATGACAATGAAAATTTGCGACGTCATTTTCAAAGTCAAAACTCAAAAACTGGAGAAATATAACTTTTTAGACATTATTTCGATAAATAATGCTGTAACAAAAATGTTTCAAATAAAAGTTGTAGTTCTTTTAAAAATACATTATTTATGTTCTATACACTTTTGTATAAAACTGATAGCTTCGAGGTTAAAGACTAAAAACGTATTTCTGATTGTGCTGAAATTTTAACCAAAGCTTATACTTGATTAGAGATCAATACCTCTAAAAGCATTTTTGACGACAAGGCTGTTTGCTGTACGCCTTCCCCTGAAAGTTTCAAAAGTTTTTAGGGAAAAATCGTGTTCCGTTGGACCCTCTTGAGTGACCTTCAGAAGGTTTTAGCCGTCATTCGTGGTTTGTTAAAAAGTTATTAAAAACAATATGTTGACGAATTATATGTAATTTTCAGACATCATACACATGTAGACACGGGTGATACTCGGGTAAAGCAGATAATACACTGGGTTTGGGTAAGGTTTTTAAAGAAGTGGGACCCCCCGAAGGGGGGCGGAACTTACTAATTCCACGCATGTACTTCCATTTTTGTACTGTTCTACATGGGTTTGCGACTTTCCACGTGAAGTGTGATCCACTGCACACCTCAGACATGGTTTGGGTTAAGTTATATTCCCCTCATTGATATATTTACTTTTAATATTAAATATATAATGGAGATAATAAAGAGTTCCGTCCTCCCAACAGAACACGATTTTTCCTTAAGAACTTTTGAAACTTTGAGGAGTAGGTGGACAGCAAAAAACCTTGTCGCCAGAAATTCTTTTAGAGGTATTCATCTCTAATCAAGTATAAGCTTTGGCTAAAATTTCAGCATAATCAGAAATATGTTGTTTTCGAAACCATAGCTGTTTTTAGTCTTTAACATCGAAACTATCAGTTTCACGCAAAAATGTATAGAACATAAATGATGAAGAAGAATTTTGAAAGAACTATAACTTTTATTTGAAACATTTTTGTTACATCAATATTTTTCGAAGTAATGTCTTAATAGTTAAATTTCTTCAGGTTTTTAGTTTTGATCTTGAAAATGACCTTGTCGCAAATTTTCATTGTCATATTCGTAATCAGCTAAAAAATCAGTATAAAAATACAAAAAAAGTGTGCAAATTAAAAATTTGCACATTGCTTCCTCATAATTGAAGCGTGCAAATTGGAAATTTGCACATTTCTTCCTCATCATTAAAGTAGACAAATTAAAAATTTGCACATTGCTTCCATTGTTATGGCTTCCTCATAGAGGAAGCTTTAAGAGAGAAATCTAACTTTACTACGATGTTTCTTGAAAGTATTCCAATTAGAAAGGACCCCGCACAAATCTTATGGAAACGGGTTCTCGGTGAATTTGTCTGAAACTTTGGGTAAATGTTGTTCATGTCATCCTGATCAAAAGTTCTCATGGCAACAACTCTCGTTAAAGCAGTATTTTAGCTCCAGGAGACCTCAAAGATAGATATTTTATCACGCGATCATAGATGATTTCACCGATTTAGCTTTCGAAGTAATGTTTGAAAGTATGCGCCAAGCAAAAGTACCTATACATATAACATAACACACATATATATAACATATAAAATTAGTTACAATTTTTTAGATGTTTTAAATAAAAAAAGAATAATTAAATAAAAAACATTACTATATTTCGCACTTTTGTCGGATCTCATAGATCAAATCGAATTGTTGTCTAAATAATAGCAAATGATGACATATTAATCTTAAAAAAATTTCAAATTGAGTATAGTAACGGCCATAGAGATATGAAGGATCAAAGTTGTCGAAATCGGTAAGCAAATCCAACAGGATAGATGAGAGTACCACGTTGACATTCATCAGTATACTTGTTGTATAATATTCTAAGAGAATGTATCTCACAATAAGTCGAAAAGTCCTGTACCACTTTGCAGGTTTTGCAATAGTTAACGAGTTATTAATTATTAAAAATCGCTGTCTTAGGCCGGCCCACTGCCCAATTCAAACGTGTGGCGAGATCGATCGATCGTTACTAGGCGCGCGGAGAGTTGTTTATTACAAGCGGCAATGGCGAGCAGCGCATCACGCTGAACCGCCGCTGCATTTCTGACAGCCCCGCGCCCTTCTTTAATACCAATAAAACTTCAATAAAAAAATTAAAAACATTTTTTTAACTTAAGTATGTTATACGTGCATAGAAAAATATCAATTTTGCTTAAAAGGACGATGTCTGTTTACTTTTTTTTACTTTGACTGTTTACTTTGACAAAAAAATACTCTGTTTACTTTTTTTTACTAACAATAAGTAACGGTTGCCTTTAACAAAGAATATTTTTTCTTGATAATGATCTAAAAATGTACATGTTACAAATATTCTTTGTAAAGATAACCGTTACCTAAAAGAAGAAAACTGAAATTGAGTAGGTAATCGGTTTTGTTAGCACTTGAAAGATATTTTTCTGCGCACATGAAAGCAATCGGCAAAAAAATAATTTTTCTCTATTTACAGTAAGAAAATGATAGAACGCTAATAGCATGGCGCATTTTTTTACAATACAATACAAAGTGGATTAGACCTACTGGGCATACCACTTAAAAAAAATGCGCCACATGCTATTTACCGCAAGGTGGTGAGGAAATGATAGCGTTCTATCATTTTCTTACTGCAAATAGAAAAATTATTTTTTTGCTTGATTGCTTTCATGTGCACAGAAAAATATCTTTCAAGTGCTAACAAAACCGATTACCTACTCAATTTCAGTTTTCTTCTTTTAGGTAACGGTTATCTTTACAAAGAATATTTGTAACATGTACATTTTTAGACCATTATCAAGAAAAAATATTCTATGTTAAAGGCAACCGTTACTTATTGTTAGTCTAGTCCACTCTATCCCACAATAAGCGTTGATGCGGGTATTATACAGGGTGTCGGATTCGATATGGACGACTCCAAAGATTATAGTAGATTGAGTTAAACTGAGAAGGAAAGTTATATACCATTTTACAAAATCCGTAATTATTATCGCATTATTAAGAAAAACGTCTGAGCCAATAAGTGCACGGAGGAGCGGAAGGCCGGACTCGGCAGACATGCAAAATGGTGTGTTTGTTGACATCTCTCAAGAATCGATAGCGAGAGGTGGAGTCACGCATTGATCGATGAGAGACGGGGGCGAGCGGGGAGCGGTGAGCGGGCGAACGGCGCGCAGCGAGAGAACGCGCGACATATGACAACGCGCCGAAAAAGTTTTTCTGGTGGTAGGAGAATAATACACCATTTTGCATGTCTGCCGAGTCCGGCCTTCAGCTCCTCCGTGCACTTATTGGCTCAGACGTTTTTCTTAATAATGCGATAATAATTACGGATTTTGTAAAATGGTATATAACTTTTCTTCTCAGTTTAACCCAATCTACTATAATCTTTGAAGTCGTCCATATCGAATCCGACACCCTGTATAACACCCTGTATACCATGGATCTTCTGTGTATATTCTTCCGGTAACATTTGCACATACATTTCATGTTCTTTGCATGTACATATATTGCATTAGGATACTTAATATACTTTAATGTTAGGTGGGTGGTAAATGCAAAAAAAGAACAAATTTACAATTCAGAAAAGAATTATATTATTATATTCAAAGAATTATTATATTCACATACACATAAAAACGAACATATATTGTTATACAATGTACATGTATGTTTTGTATTACAAAATATAGAAAGCTTTCAATGACTTTCTAACAACAAATTAAACTTATAATACATTGCAACATATATGCATATAAAGTTATCAGTAAATACTAGTTAATTATCGCTTAAACTATAGAAAACAGATATATGTATATTTATTTTTGTGTTAAGGCTCCTGAGTAGTCGCCGCGGCTGTTCTTATTTAATGACATCACAAGCGAGAAATCGTATGTCAAAAATTCATGCTGGATACGTTGAAATAAAAAAGTATATCCATACAATGATACTTGTGATCGATTCAGCAAATGTGTAAAATACTCCGAAAGCATTTTCGCTGTGCAAATCAATAAATAACCGTAAAATTAACATAACAAGAATCATGAGAAAAGGGAGGTTAAAACCCAAGTTGCATATTGTAATGTCCGAGAACATAATCATACACATCTACAATCAAGGAAGACACGTTGTGTCTTCGCCTAACTTGTGTTCTGGTATTCATACGCAGCGTGCGCCAGTTGCCTGGTAGCCGCCGAGCCGATCACTACTATTTCTAAATATATACATTCGTTTGGTTGTTAATTAAGTCTTGTTACTTAACCACTCGATCCCAGGACATAACAATTTTGGCGACGAGTATTAATCGAACCCAGTCAAGGCAAAAACGGACGCTTATTCTAATCAGTGCGGCAGTATTCGATAAAGTAAAGCGGCAGTAATCGAAAAAGTAAAAATAAACGAAAGTGCCATCGTGTTAAATGTATACGGATGTCGAGCGATGAAAGTAACGCGGAAAAGTTACGCGATATAGACTATGAAAAAGTATCGTGGATTCATGACCTATCGAAAGCTGAACTAATAGAGCGGTTAATAAAAGTAGCCGCAGCATACGTCGATGTAAAGTTCAAGGAGACTGATAGTGTCGACGCGTTGCGAAAAGTGCTGAAAAACCACGTAAAAAGTGTCGCTGAACTCCGTGCAGCAGCTAAAAATCGGAAAAGCGCGGAAAGTGAAACAGTAAACGGACAAAGTGGAGACTCGACAGAGAAAAACTTGACACGTGCAAGTTTATTAGTAAACGAGGATAAAAGTAAGGTGAAAATAAAGAAGGCAACTCACGCGATGGAAAATAATGATGCAAAATTGCGATTCGAATTGGGAAAAGACGATTGGGACACGTATACGGAAAGACTCGAGTTATATTTCACTTTAAATGACGTGGAAAATGACAAACAAGTAGCCGCGCTACTAACTAAAGTGAGTGCAGATACTTATAAGTTAATACGCGATCTATGTGCACCGGTTAAACCCAAGGATAAAACGTTCGATGAACTGGTGACTTTGGTGAAAAACCATCTTTGTCCCAAACCGTCGGAAGCGATGGAAAGGTGTAAATTTCACCAGGCTCAACAAACAGCAACAGAATCGGTTGCAGATTTCGTCGCACGTCTAAAAAACCTAACACTGAATTGCAATTTTACAAACATCGATACGGCGATAAGGGACCAGCTCGTTTGTGGACTAAGAAACCACAATACGAAAATTATGCTGTTCAAGGAGGAGAATTTAACGTACGCTAACGCGTATAAGATCGCTACCGCTTTGGAGGAAGCTGAAAAAAATGCATCAACAACCGATAAGCTAAGCCCAGGGCCGAGTACGGATTCCGACGTGAATCTCGTGCGATCAAAACAACGTGAGCAGGCAGGCCGAGGAAAAGGAAAGCAAACTGGCAGAGGCAAACTCAGAAGCCGCGGGAACAACAGGCGAATTCCAAGCAACCAAGGGCAGCAGAGAAATTCCAACGGGGATATACCTGCTAGGAAATGTTTCTGCTGTGGCAAAGGCAATCACATTGCCCGCGACTGTTTCCATCGTTTCAAATCCTGTTCATCATGCAAAAGGAGGGGACATCTATCGGCAGTATGTAAACGAAGCCAACGGCAGGATCACGTGCAGCACCTCGACGACGGCGAAGAAGATGACGGCAGCGAAGAAGAGGGGAAGTACGATTTCCTCACTATGGACGCAGATTGCGGCGCGAGAAATACGAATGTCGGTAACGTAGATATTGATTGTACTATTGAAGCGGAACCAATGCGTATTAACGTAAAAATAAATAAAACAGAAATTAATATGGAAATCGATACGGGAACTTACATGTCTATTATTTCTCGAGAAACAAAGAATCGATTATTCCCATTTTCGAAAGTAAAGGCAATGAATAGAAAGTTAAATGCATACGGTAAAATTCCGCTAGCTCAAGACGGATTATTAGATAAGTTGGAAGTCGAGTATAAAGATGTAAAAGCAACATTGAGCATGGTTGTGATGTCGAGACCGGGACCAAAATTAATAGGACGTCAATGGTTAAAAATTTTGGGATTATGGCCGTTAAAACATTTAAATGACTCAGCAAACGAGATTGATAAGTGCCATAAAATCGATAATGCTGACGTTGTAAAAGAGTTCAAAAGTGAATTCCCGCGATTGTTCGGTCCGGGCCCAGGAATTTATAATAAAGGAATGCTCAAAATCGTATTGAAAGATAGTGCAGTACCGGTATCGTTAAAGGCTAGGAGACTACCGTTTGCATTAATGGAAAAAGTAGAAACTGAGATAAATCGGTTGGTAAAATTAAAGCACCTCGAAAAAATCGATATTAGTGAATGGTCGACACCGATCGTGCCGGTTATTAAAAAAGACGGATCAGTAAGAATTTGCGGTAATTTCAAGCTGACGATAAACCCATATTTAGTAATCGATCGTCATCCGATTCCGTTAATAGACGAAATTTTCGCTGCGCTTAGCGGAGGAACGGAGTTTTCGCAAATCGATTTAGAACATGCGTATATGCAAATACCCGTCGAAGAAAGTTCGAGAGATTATTTAACCATCGTCACGCACAAAGGGTTGTTTAGGTACATAAAGATGACTGAGGGAATCGCGTCGGGACCTGGCGACTTTCAGCGCAAGATTGAGCAATGCCTTGCCGGTCTTAATAATGTAATTCCATACCTCGATAATATATATTGTACTGGGAAAAATGACGATGAACACTTGCAAACGTTACGCGGAGTATTCAAGCGACTCGAAGATAGTGGTTTAAGAGTAAACATAAACAAATGTGATTTTTTTAAAGAGCGCTTGGACATTCTTGGTTTTGTAATCGATAAAAACGGGCTGCATAAAGCGTTCAGTAAAGTTAAAGCTATCATTGAGGCACCAAAGCCAATAAATCTAAAGCAATTGCAATCGTTCATTGGTCTCGTTACGTATTACGCTAGATTTTTGCCGGACAGAGAA